GTTCTAAGAAAACAGAATTTACTATATACCATTCGATGCGGCTCGAAAAGCTCTACAACATGATATATTCGTTTCTTATTTCTAAACTAGTTCACCCCATCCGACAAGGTCCTTTAAATGATGGGACACGAACTTTTGGTCGCCCTAAGTATATGAAATTTTCTAATCTGAATCGGATAGTTTCCCTAAAGATATGAGATATATTCTTCTGTTTTTTTTTGCATTTAGTGGATAGCATACTACTCATTTATCAAATTGCTATATGCCGTCGCGCCCAAAATGCTCGAATTTAGACTTGATAGGGATCGATTCGGCAACTAGCTCGATGGGCTATTCTTATACGCTATGGCTTTCAAACTTGTTGTGAAACTGAAACGGGACGCAAGTACTTTATGACAGGAGCTTTAGATAACAATCTTTCATTCGTTAATAGAAATACAATCAATAGAGCTTGTTTTACGCGTTGTATCAGCAGGTACAAGACAATACATTTTGTTTTCTTTGATCAACATTTCTTATTCATAGAAAGAATAAAACACTTAATATTCTTATGCTAATTTTAAAAGACACAAAAATTATTTTAGCATTTTTTATTCGACAGAAAATATTGCTCAAAAAAACAACAAAGAAAGTCTACTTTTTTTCTTGTCGCTAGTGTAACGCTTAAAATAAGAACGACGATTGATCATCTGTCAAGGGCTCAAGTAATATTATTAAAATTCTATCATAAGAAAATGCTTATATCCAGTTTCTGCTATGATATTGAATTGTTCTGATTTTAAAAAGAAAGCATGCTATTTCTTTTTTAGATCATTCTTTCGAGCATCATATGAAGATTCTATTGTTATGCAACAATTTAAAATAGTTTATTGTTGTTTGTATGAAGTACATTATATGCTATGTTTGTCTTTTTGCTTTATCTTTTCTCGATATACATTCGTAGATGAAATCTTAATAATTTGATATGTTATTTTTAACTCAAGTAGTTCTATAAGCAGGAAGATCTAAATTCGTTTGTAAAAGCTTTTTCTGGAAATGTTTGCTTTTTGTCAAACTGTACTTTATGTTGTTATGTGATGTTAAACTTTATCAAATTAATTATGATACAATTTTTAACATAGTTATACTTAATCTATTCACTTTCGTCTTATACACATATCTTCATGTTTGAATTAATAAACGAAATTGAAACATCGAAGTAGTACTGTTATTATTCATTTTTATTTCAGTCAACATGAAGCATTAGGCCACAGAGTTCAGTTCACTAACTTATTTTCGATATTTCATTCCGTAAACTATACAGATCGATAGATAGATTTTAGCACGGTAAATCATGTATTGGTATTTTGTTTTTGTGTACTTCAATATTATTTTACGAATTATTTCGAGCATTTTTAATATTGGTATTTTTCTAATGTTTTCATGAGACTCCCTCTCTCGACTATCGATCTTTATATAGATCTTAAATGACTGATAGGCATTTACATCATGTCGTACTTTAGCCAATCTATCTAATTATCGAAAAATATCGATTTAGTTAATATTTCATAAGAATATTATGAAGAAAACTTGATAGTCTTGCAAATTATCAATGGTCTATCAATAATATACATTACATTTTCACTCAGCATGTCGACATTATCTTGAGAAGACAAAAGAGCTACAAATAGGTTAGCGCTTTAAAATAGTTCGAAAAGATAAAATGTCACTATCCCGTCCAGTCTGATCGTAATCGTTACAACACTGATAAAAGCATAGTAAAAATGACTATTTGTCATCACTGTTTAAATAAAATCATAAGAAAAGGAAAAATATATCTTTTCTGGTTCTTTTATTATAATAAAAGATAGGTTAGATTCTTAAAATGACTTAATGGAATCAAGATGATAAGATTAACCAAACACATTGACTAGAGTCAAAACAATCGTAATATATGAGTTGAACAAATAGTAGGTGGAAACTTCCATTTTTGTTGGCGGCGACGTTGAAAAGAAAGAAAAATTCTTTGAGTGAAGTTGGAATCAGAGAAAATCGTCGTCGGCGAAAATGGACTAATTCCTATATTAATTGTAAAACGTTTACAAAAATATAGAAGCTGCACAATATCACATTTTTATTCGTTGTATTCTTTTTTCTAAAATAGTCGTGATACAAGATCTCATATATATAATACGCTAAACTTTTTGATTTTCTTGTCAATTTTCAAATATAATACTACCGTAGTTGATAAATACTTATAACTATAGATTAAGAAGCCCTAGAAATCTTTAAATAGTACTTGAGAGTGACAGCTATGAGAGGATGTTCGTTATAGTTAGTTTGCAATCCATCAATAAATTAAAAGTTATTAAGTCGAAACACATAATTATTATAAGTAAATTCTAAAAATAATGTGATATTATGTTTTTGAGTGCAAATGATACCAAAAAAATTAACTATTTAATAGTTATATATAAATACATTTTATTTGAAATATAAATATTCAGTTCAAAGATGTACATGATAAAACAATGGAATATGCATATATACATACTAGTAGAGCTTTGTTCATCAAGCAACAAAATTATATTTCAATACTCGCCAAATGAAAATAATTTAAGGAAGCAAATAGCTTAATATTGCATTGGCAAATATTTTTAAGAGAAGTGATTGCTACTCCTTGTAATGCTATTATGATAGTATGCATTTTGAGTTTAGTCATGAATGAAAATATTGTCCTTGAAAATTACGATACAAAATCTTTCGATGAAAAAATAAATATGTAATTGTCTTTGAAAAATCAACAGTTTCAAGAAATTTTCAAATAATGACCAACTTTTATAATGCTTATTTTTTTCAACCCACTAACTTCATAGCAATATCCTAGATTTAAACTCAGATTTAAATGCAAATCATTACTTTGATCACAGATTTCTTCTTCATAAAAACTATATAGCATTATTTTTACATTGATTTATGATTAGAATAAAATAAATTGAATGAACTGTTTGAACTATATCTTGAAATAATGAATACTAAACAAGAGAAGATCGACGTCAACATCCAACATTTGAAGATCGTACACAATCATCATGTAATGAGTTCGCTTATGATACAAAATAACCTCATAATAGATGTTTGTTTTTTTTTATCATATTCAAAACGATTTAACGATAAAATAAAATATTCAGACCGTGTTTGAAGAATAGTATATCGTCCAGTATCTTGTAATGATCTGTTTTAATGTTTTTTTTTCTCATTAATTTTGAAAAACAAAAAGCAAATAAATAATAAAACGCACCGACAATGTTCACATCGATATTGATCATCATTTTTTAGTCTTCTTTTCACAAGTAACACTCGAAAACAAATTGAAGATTTGATGAATTTTATGTTGCATTGATTATATTATTATAAGATGATATTGATACATATGTTACTGATTGATAATAATTTAAATTGCGATGTGGATGTCTATTCTCAATAGATATCCCCATCCACGCAAGCACTCCAGTTTTGTGCGCTGTTCCTAATGATGTATGCAGTCTCGAATAGCATAAATTATTGCAAAGTAATGAACTCATTTCAGCGAAGGAGTAAAAATCATTTTATTTTAAACCATAACGACCATAACGATTTTCATTTCGTTTGAAAACGTCATCAGACAACTCGACACAATTTTTTACCCATGTCCGAGTAAATTTTTTGTGTAAATCCTTGATGGAACAATTCGCGATGTTATGAGTCTCCATTCTTTAGTATGAAAAAGAAAATTATATCTTTTATAACCTGCTGAAGATGCATTCGCTATTTACTTCATAATCCTTTAGAGATAAGCTAGAATGATCGAAAAAATTGAATTTATAGATTTCTCACTATGTTCTTTCATTTCCAATCTTAAAATATAGGGTCAACATTTTCTAGAGTATGACTCTATTGGAAAATGTTCAATTTTCTCGTGGATCGACAAGTGTTCACCTAATCTTTTTTTTTTTTTTTTTGAGGCACAAGATCACAATCAAAAATGTAGTATAGCTTTGATTAGATCTAGGGCACTACTGCAATTTCTCGTACAAATCAGCCAAAAATAAGAAACACTGTTCACTCTTGAAACAATTATTATTCATCTTATTAAAGGAACGTTTGTGACAGACTGATTGCTTGAATCGATTTATTAATGATTATTGATTGTGTCCATAATCGGTTGACCTTCCAACTTAATTCTAACAATGAAAACAAGAGACTCAATTGCGTGAGGTAGCCAGCTTAGATTCATTCGATAAGCATGCGATTTGATTTGAGACTCTTTATCAAAATCTGGATCATTACAGGTGACATCGTTACTGCGAAAAACATGTTGTTGAACAGAAAAAAAAGTATTTATTTATGATACTAAAAATTTGAACCATTATCATCATCGCTTACGTTCTCTTCTTCGATAGATCGCAAAACATAGTGTTAAAATGGAAGAAGAGTCTAATATGAAACAATCTACATTATTGATTGAAAAAATCTTGCTAGAGTATATTTAGCTGGTGAATTTACGCATCCAACCGAGTACTTGCTCGTACCAAGTAATGGAATGCAGAGGATTTACTACCCAATGATTTTCTGTTGGAAAATACAGTAATCGACTTTCGATACCACGGCGCTGCAAAGCTGTAAAGGTGCCAATTCCTTGTGTTTCTGGTACACGATAATCATAAGCACCGACAATTATCAACATTGGCTGTGTCTAATTTGCAACGTGATTGACTGGATTGTAGCGTTCATAGGCATCGGGATCTTCATATTGAGGTTTGCCTCCTGCATCATGTTCGGTGAACCATAGTTCTTCAGAGGAATAACTCTTAGCTCTTGTATCAGACACACCATTATGACAGACGAGTGTTTTAAAACGACTACTCATTTCTGGATGTCCAGCAATCCAATTGATCATATATGCACCATAGCTAGCACCCAATGCTGCAGCTCGGTTTCCATCAATATAAGGAAAGTTTCTCAGAGCATAATCAAGTCCCAATTTGAGATCTTCATAAGGCAAAGATCCGTATTCACCTATAATACTATTTGTAAAATTTTGTCCATATGAATCAGAACCATGAAAATTGATTGCAATAACAGCGAAACCTTGAGAAGTAAAGGATTGAATATTCCATCGATAGCTCCATGCATCGTACCAACTACTTTGCGGACCACCATGAATGAGAAAAGCAAGTGGAGCTCGATTGCTTGTGCCATTTGCCGGTGGCACATGCCATCCCCAAACTGTTTCATTGCGAGCACCCACAAATGAAAATGTTTCAGCTATAGTACTCATTTTTACTTTAGTCAATAGAACATTGTTATGAACAGTAAGATATCGACTTGAACCATCTGATGAATACAAATAGATATTTGGTGGCTCGAGGATACTTTCATGTGTGCAGACAAATACTCGATCGTTGATAGGATGAATATTGATATTGTGCGAAGTACCATTGCTAACTAGACGAACTAGTGATTGACTCGTAAATATATCAGATAAATAATAGATAACATTTCGGGCTTCTTCGCCAACTTCAAGATAAAGAGATTGACCATTGAGTGACCATGTTGCAACTTGAATACTTAGATCGCTACTGTCGAGAAGAGTTATTGGCGTATTCGATCCTAAAATGTGAAAGAAGACGGATGTAAATTGAGTCAATATAAAGATGGCATAACTGACCATTGTATATTTTAACTTTGAATTGATCTGACTCGTATCGTGGAACTGAATGTGATCGATATATCAATATCTTATCATCCATTGGTGAGTAAGATGGATCAGTATCAGTTGCCAAGTTGTTGCATGTAATACACTTACTTTCGAATGTAGGTGCATTCAAATCAACTGTAAATATATCCAAGTTAGTCGTCCAAGCTACTGTACTATTTTCATCATATTGTCGAGTATATGCAAAAGAATTACCAGTTGCACTAAATGACCATTGAGCTTTAGCACTACCGAAAGGCCGTGTTGGAGAATCACTATCTACATTGAAAAGTAGATCAATCACTGGTGATGAAAATTTAAATATTCCATTGCTTTGTCGTTCGATTTGAACAAGAAATGGAT